GCTGAGGAGTATCCAACTCCTGAATCTAAATGTGGAGATGTGTGGTATAGAGAGCAGGCTCAGGAACTGAAAATCATGATGAGGTATCTCAGTGCAGGACAATTTGAGAGTGGTGAAATCATGGTTGCGAAACACATCTCCAAACAAAACTAAGAAATACTGACTACAGACTGAGCTTACAGTCTTGCTAAGTTGAAGCTTGTTTGTGGTGGCAGTAGGATGGGGACAAATGCTTTTTATTCTGTGCCTAGTAAACAACTCAAAGCGCCTAGGAAATAATTCGAAGTGCCAGGGAATGTGTGGCAAGGGCATATCATTTTAAAACACAGGCAAAAAGGTGGAGGTCAGGGGACTCAGAGGAAGTGCCTCAGCTCAGGGGAAGTGGGACACTTTTGAAATAGTGTATGCAGATAGCTTCTTCCCTCTTCTGGTCAGCAGGTGGGGGTAGAGGTGAGGCAGGGGAGGGAATCCTGGCCTTGTTGTGGACGGGATGCTAAATCAAAGAAATCAGCCTTCCCACACCCTGGATTCTGGCAGGGAAGTCTTGGTGTAGCTGCCCAGAAGATGCTAGAGACAGGTGGTGACTTGGGCAATGCTTATATTTCAGAAAGGTGCTCTGCAGAGCAATTAAATAGTTCCAGAGCAATTAAATCAGCTGGAAAGATTTATTCCCTGGTAATGTTTTTGAGCCCCTCCTCTCCCCTCTTTCACAAACTGATTATGGTCACCCCAGTATGATGAGCCATGGGTCACCGAATAACTGTAACTATAGTTAGTTGCTATTAGGAGAGGAGGGAGAAAGATGCCCCAACCCCTTCCAGTGAGTAGGAATGCCAATGACTATCACAGAGCCTTTCCCCACCTCTCCCTTCTGCAGATTCTCACCCAGCAGCTCTCCTGGCACACTCACGTTCATTTGCTGTGAATTTCTTCATGGTTGTTTTTTGGGTTTTTTGGGGGTTTTTTTTGGTTTTTTTTTAAACTTCAATCCCCAGGTGGGAATGGTTATTCCTCTGCCTTCTTCTGCAACCATGTCCTGGCACATGCATAGGCAGGTGAATTGGAAAGGATGCTCAGGATGCTCAATGGCATGGGAGAGGGGAGGGAAGGATGGGGGAAAAGACATGGGGCTTCAATGTACTCCTTCACAGAGGTCATGGAACAACTTTGGCTAGCAAAACCCCGGCTTAGAGAAAGCAGGATGGCTGCAGTTGGTACTCACCGGGGGGCAGGAATAGCGTCGCCCGGATCCTCCCCTCTCGCACCGGCACTCTCCGCACCCCGTCCCGCAGGAACGCCCGCTCGTGCTGCGCCTGGGCCAGGAGCCGCCCGGGGCGCTGCCCGTGGCCCTCAAACACCTCCAGCTGCAGGAGGAAGGGGCTCTGCACGTCCCGCTTTACCAGCCGCCAGAAAGGCTTCTGGGGCTGCAAAGCCCAGAGCAGCCCCATGGGCTCCAGGCCGGAGAAGCTGCCTCCCGGCAGCGCAGGACAGCGGGCGAGGTCCAGCTCCCCGTCGTCGCCCGCCTGGTAGCGGGCACTGGCCTGGAAGAGCTCTCCGGTCTCGTCCCGCAAGGACGTGCGCAGCGTGACCTGCTGCCGCGGGCCGAGGCCCTGCACGGCGATGGCCAGCGGCTCGTCGAAGAGGCTGCGGGTGGCGGGCGACAGGCGGATGGAGGGAGCCATGGACGAGAGTCCCTGGGCGGGGGCTGTCCCGGAGCTCCACGCGGGGCTGCGGCTCCGAGGGGCTGCAGGACCGCAGGGGCCGGGCCAGGGCAGCCGCTTCTGCCAGGCGCGGGAGCTGGCCCGGCACAGGCAGCGGGCACTGACCTGCCACATAGCTCCTGCTCGCTCCCGCCTCTGGGGGCGGATTCTGAGGCAGACCCTCGGAAGCAGGGCCGAGCTCGGGCCTGGAGTGCCGCTGGCACGCCCCGGCGGGGAGGAGCAGGGCGTCAGCTCCCTTGTCCCGCCCGCCTGCTTCACTCCTGCGTGCCTGCCTCCTCTTCTGTCTTCCCCCCCCCGCTGCCTTTCCCGGCTGTGGGAGGGTTTATCCAAAGGCTGCCTAGTTCTTGAAGTCCGTCTGGGCTTTGGCGAGCTCCTCGGTGACCCCCCGAGCTGTCCCAGGCTATGCGGTGGCTGCGGGCAGGAGACGTGGGGAGAGGACAAGTAGATATGTTGACGAGCCACCGAGCAGAATCGCAGTCGGAACTCACCGGACAGGGAAGGGCCGGAGTGGGACAGAGATGGGACGGCCGAGCTGTGCTGTGCCGCTCAGCCAAGGGACCGCAGCGAGGGCCAGCCCCAGCAGAGGCGGGGAGAAGCCACACCAGCACTAGCTCGCCGTTGCTTCTTGTCTCCTTGCCGGCTCTGTTTCTCTGTTCGTTACCCCAAGGCATAAGCAAGGTGGGTTATGTCTCCACCAGGCTCTGCACGGCCTAGGCAGCTGCACAGCCAGGTGTATTAGGAAGAGTAACCAGAGATGGAGAAGTAATAAGGGAGGAGCACTTTCACAGACTATTTTTAGGTAGGTCAGGAAACATCTGGCTCTTCTAGTAATGGATTTTGCAAGGATTTAAAAAAGAAGGTAATTCAATCCATCTCATGCAGAGATGGATCTTCTGATCCAAAAGGAACTGCAGAGGAAGAGCTGTTTCTTGAGGCTCCCAGACTCTTCCTGGCAGGTTCAGGTAGGGATGCCTCATGCTCTGAGCTACTCATGTCTGTCTTAGAGGTGTGAAGGAGGTGGAAGCACTAAGAGAATCCTGAACATTGTCCTAATTGGAAATACTAAGTGATCAGAGATACTAGGCAGAGTCTCAGCTGTCTTTCATTCACCATGGAAATTACCCTTTCTCTCCAAGCAGGTGAGGTGTTCTGTCTGAGTATGTTGCCTGGTGTCTAGTCCTGAATGTGTGGCAACTACTCCTGTTGTTGAAAACAACACTGTATGGCTTACGCTACTGGATTTGATCATGGACTTGACCATATGCAGGAGCAGATGCTGAGGAAAAGAGTCTTGGAGGCTTCAGCAGTATTCCTTCTCCATGCTTGGTGACACAAAAGCTGTGGGAGAGAGTGAAGGTAAGGGAGCTATGTGTCTGTTTTCTGTGTTCTCCTGTTCCCACCTGGGCAACCTTTGATCCCAAGTTGCTGCAACTTTGTTAAGCCATCACCTGGGATGAGAAAGTAGTAAAGTTGCAAACCCTGCTTCTAACCAAAGCACAGCAAGAGACTCCATAGCTTTCAAATCTCAGTCTCTTTATTACAATTCTCATCCCTGTGACAAAGATTCAAATGTTCCACATGATGTGGGAGAAGATTAAAATGGCTGTAAATTCAACACAAAGTTTTTTGCATGACATCTTTGGCGCAGAAATATCCATGAGCCAGAGCACTTCTTTTCAAGTGAAGATGGAAAGAAGGCACAAAAGGCAAACAGCCTTTCACAAGGCTTACCCAGAGACAGCCCAGCATCCTGTCTAGAGCGGCCGTTCTTATACATTTCCAGCAGCACAGAGGTCAGAGATGTTTCCATTTGCAATAACACATTGACCACAAGACCAGTGAAATCCCTGCTCCAAATTTGTCATTTGGGAGCTTGGTATGACCTGAGGCTAGCACATTCATGTAGACACCACAGTGACATGTAAAGCACTGTCAGGTATTAAAGGAACAGAAACCACCCAAGAAACGTAACTGCACTTTGCACATGACATGTTTTATCAGAGACTAATGCAAAAACCACCATTCCTTTTCTTGGCACTTGGGCAAAAAGGCTGAGGGAGGAACAGAAAAGGCAAACCCTTTTATTTTCTGTGTTATGGATGTCCAAAGTCATGGAAGATACAGTAGTTGTACTGATACACCTGTGACAAGGTTTGACCTTGCTAGCACATTATTTATTGCACATTAGTTAACAATTAAATACTTTTTGAAAAAAGCCTGGATCTGTGACCAAGCATGAACCTGAGCTTTAGAATAAGCCCTGAGCTCCCCACCCAGGACTGCCCGCTTGTGAAAAACAGGGTGGCTTCCTATGCGGTACAAAGGGAAAAAGGGAGGGTCTATGCAATGCCCTGTTCCAGGGTAGGAGAGAATCTGAAAATTTTCTTTCCCTTGAGCCTGCAGAAGCTTGCAGACTTCAGTAGCATAATGCTCACTTTTGACAACATGGTCATCTTGTCCCAGGACAAATAGGAACTGTGCCTCAGCTTTGTCTAGTGGGATCAGGCTTTGGTTGCCAGGGGCTTGAAAGGGATCATCAAGGACATCAGAATAGTCAAGACATTTGGAATTGGTGGCCTTGGCTTTGTGTTCATATAAGGTCAAAGTGGGGATGATTTTATCCTTGTAACACAGAGGAATACATGTAATAGCAACAGGGGCATTGAGGGAAGCAACAGCCATGATGTTCTTCAGGAAGGCAGCCATGGCAAGGCACATTTCACCCCCTTTGGAGAAACCGAGCAGGCCAACCCCTGGACCCTTCACCTGGAAGAGAGGAGGAAATGCTCATCAGTGCTGAGGTGAAAAGCACAACAGCTGGTTCATGGAGGGGAAGATGGTCAAATGCTGAGAGTTTGCAAAACAACGTGAACAAAGTGGTGGCAATGATTACTTTTCCTTGTGGACAAATGACAGGCACACCCTCCCTCACCCCCTATACTTCCTCTTGACACTGTACTTCAAAGCACTGATGTTCCCTCATGTTCTCAAATCAGACAGGAGTGGGGAGACATAATTTCATGCATCTGGGGACACCTTTTAGGTCACAGCTATGAATTATTAGTCTTAGACCCTGGCAGATGCTCTTTACTTTTCACACTTGAGACTGTAGGTGGACACTTGGTGGTAACTTATGAAGGCTTTTTCCTGCACATACTTCCCACTGGGTTATATCTGATCTGTCTCTTGTGATGTTGCACTGTGATCTCTCTCTCTACCCCCACTTCCAGTGCACATATGCCCCTTCTCTTTCCTAGAACTCAGACACCCAAAATCCTTGCAAAGATTAGCCCTGCCAAGTGAGTATTTCTGCAACTTCCTCCAAAGATGACTTGGGCAAAGTGAGAGGATTTTCCAGGAACAGTTTCTGGAACCCAGAGGAAATGGATGTTCGTACCTGTGGGTGCTGCAGCATATAGTTTATTGCCTCTTCAAAATATTCCAGGTGGAGTTCCTTTGGTTTCTGGGGCAGATCCTCAAACTGATAATAAGCCAGGGCTAGTGTGGCAAAGCCATGATTGGCCAGCAGGCTTGCTCTGGGCTCAAAAAGACCTCCTCCAATTCCATGTATATCAATGATCCCTGGAAAGGTGTCTTCTCCTGGAGCAAACAAGACAAAGATCAGAATTGCCTGAAATTACTCCTTTCAGTGTTTCTCTGGTTTGGAATGCATCAAACAAGGTACCAAACAGGAACTGCAGAAAAGCATATTTTCTGGCAAAAGTGCAAACCCTTACTTGTTTTAGGAATCAGCAGTACTGTGCATAGTGCTTAGGGCCAATAGGCAGAGTGTCTTTGGTGAAAGTATCTTATCCCAAATTCTCTTTCTGTAAGCAGCCCTCTAACAACAAGCTCTTCACCTACTGCTATAAAAATCCTCAAAGTATTGTGGTTTGATAGATGCAACACAAACTAGAAATTTTAAGCTATTTGTTTGTATGTTGCTTCCTAACATTTGGGATCCCTTGAAAAGCTGTAAGTAACCCAAACCAGTACTTTGTTCCTTTGCCAGTCATGTCTGGCAGCAGTCAGTATCAAATTCTACATAGGATGCCACAAGTATTTCAGTGGTCAGCAGATCTCTAGTTGGATCTTTCTTGGTCCAGGATCCACTCTTCCTCATCCTGGGAGAATCCTGAACCTGCCCAGCCAGTGCAGGGAAAGAGAATGCTTTGGATGTTGTATTCTTCAGCCTGATAGGTTTTGGAACTGCAACCTGCAGGAAAGCTCCACAATCCGCAGGCCAGAGAAGGTGACCTTGGACCTTTTTGGGAGTGGAGAAGACCTAGCTCACACCTATTTCTGGCTTCAGGAGAGCCACAGGCCTGAGTGGGCTCATGCCTCCCACCCTTTGAGGATGCCCTTCTACCACAGCCTCACACCCTGCCCCACAGTGGCCTGTGCATCTGCAGATAAGGCTGCAGGTGGAAGGTGGGAATGTGCTGCGGGGTATCACAGAGGCAAGGAGAGAGAGAGAGAGCACAGCATCTCTCTCTCAGTTAATTCTCTGCCTCGGACCAAGGAGAGCTCTGCCATCAAAAGCGCTGCTGTGCTCTTCCTTCTGTAGCTGTTTGCATGCAGGCAACAACACATCTACTGGGTCTTCATAGGCTGTGAGCACTCAGAGCAGTGGCTGTGTGGCCAGGGGCCAGTCTGTAGCCCATGGCTCAGCTGGGTCTTGTGGGGCTCTATGGACTTGCACTGAACAAGCCCAGAAGAGGTGGTACAGCTGAGTAAGGCTGTGGGGGTGCTCAAGGGAGGTGCCACAGTACTGTAGCAAAAGCCCTTTGAGCTCTCTGCCTCAACATGGCCTTAGATCATTTGCTGAGGAGTATCCAACTCCTGAATCTAAATGTGGAGATGTGTGGTATAGAGAGCAGGCTCAGGAACTGAAAATCATGATGAGGTATCTCAGTGCAGGACAATTTGAGAGTGGTGAAATCATGGTTGCGAAACACATCTCCAAACAAAACTAAGAAATACTGACTACAGACTGAGCTTACAGTCTTGCTAAGTTGAAGCTTGTTTGTGGTGGCAGTAGGATGGGGACAAATGCTTTTTATTCTGTGCCTAGTAAACAACTCAAAGCGCCTAGGAAATAATTCGAAGTGCCAGGGAATGTGTGGCAAGGGCATATCATTTTAAAACACAGGCAAAAAGGTGGAGGTCAGGGGACTCAGAGGAAGTGCCTCAGCTCAGGGGAAGTGGGACACTTTTGAAATAGTGTATGCAGATAGCTTCTTCCCTCTTCTGGTCAGCAGGTGGGGGTAGAGGTGAGGCAGGGGAGGGAATCCTGGCCTTGTTGTGGACGGGATGCTAAATCAAAGAAATCAGCCTTCCCACACCCTGGATTCTGGCAGGGAAGTCTTGGTGTAGCTGCCCAGAAGATGCTAGAGACAGGTGGTGACTTGGGCAATGCTTATATTTCAGAAAGGTGCTCTGCAGAGCAATTAAATAGTTCCAGAGCAATTAAATCAGCTGGAAAGATTTATTCCCTGGTAATGTTTTTGAGCCCCTCCTCTCCCCTCTTTCACAAACTGATTATGGTCACCCCAGTATGATGAGCCATGGTCACCGAATAACTGTAACTATAGTTAGTTGCTATTAGGAGAGGAGGGAGAAAGATGCCCCAACCCCTTCCAGTGAGTAGGAATGCCAATGACTATCACAGAGCCTTTCCCCACCTCTCCCTTCTGCAGATTCTCACCCAGCAGCTCTCCTGGCACACTCACGTTCATTTGCTGTGAATTTCTTCATGGTTGTTTTTTGGGTTTTTTGGGGGTTTTTTTTGGTTTTTTTTTAAACTTCAATCCCCAGGTGGGAATGGTTATTCCTCTGCCTTCTTCTGCAACCATGTCCTGGCACATGCATAGGCAGGTGAATTGGAAAGGATGCTCAGGATGCTCAATGGCATGGGAGAGGGGAGGGAAGGATGGGGGAAAAGACATGGGGCTTCAATGTACTCCTTCACAGAGGTCATGGAACAACTTTGGCTAGCAAAACCCCGGCTTAGAGAAAGCAGGATGGCTGCAGTTGGTACTCACCGGGGGGCAGGAATAGCGTCGCCCGGATCCTCCCCTCTCGCACCGGCACTCTCCGCACCCCGTCCCGCAGGAACGCCC